CTCTCTGGCGGTCGAGGATGCCGCCACCAAGACTCCTGGTCTCGAGCAGTACGCCATGCGTGCCTTCGCCGAGGCCCTGGACGCCGTTCCCATGGCCCTGGCCGAGAACAGCGGTCTCAACCCTATCGCTACTCTGGCCGAGGTGAAGAGCCAGCAGGTCAAGGCCAGTCCCGCCGACCGCGGAAAGCTTGGTGTTGACTGCATGAACCGTGGTAGCAACGACATGAAGGACGCCTTCGTTATCGACCCCCTCATTAGCAAGAGACAGCAGCTCATGCTGGCGACGCAATTATGCCGAATGGTATTGAAGGTCAACAACGTCATCATCGCCGGGTCTGGCGAGGAGGACTTTTAAAGATTTAAAGTAAAAATGATGATGAACGGAAAATAGGTTCTAGACGGGTCAGTGGTGTTTGGGATTATACCAAGCTTTGTACTATGCAAATAGAGAGGCCCCAATGTCGAGACCAATACCAGTCCTCGAATTTCCCCAGCCGGCATTCCACGGTTTACTAAGTTTAAGAGTATGTTCGGTGAAGACGTTGCCAGCGATTTCTTGATTCAACGTCCCGGCTTACCCACCACGATCCTTTGCTGTATATCGAACAAGTTCTAGGTCGGCAAGTATTTATGAGACCGATTATCGGGCTAGATCTTGACCATTATTGTAAGAGTTGTTACTGTAACATGAGTTCTGAGGACACGGAAGAGTTGGTTTAGTTGGAGAATTGGCACAGAACACACCAGCGTCAACCTCTCATGGAGCCGAGCAAAGTAATGTCCTGGTATTCTAAGTCATTTGCCATTTCTGGTCTATTCCAATGCATGCCGTCTACTCTATCCGAATTTCAATCATCTTGTCTAAGCCCCTCTACTGCATCCAGCCTCTCTCAGCAGTGTACTTCAGGTACGGCTCCATGTCTCTGTAGAACACCCGCTGCAGCTCAGCCTGCTCCTCAGGCGTAGGACGAGTCTTCTCGCCTTGACGACGGTTCCAGCTCTCCTGCGTCTCGGTCAACAGCGCCTTCTCGTCCTTTCCGGTGCTGTCGGCGAAGTTGTACGATCTGTACTCGGTGTTCTCCCACCCAGTCGCTGCAAGCTCATTAGCAAGACCGTCCGGCAACAGCTCTCATGAACGTCAGGGAGAAAACGTACCTTTGCCAGCAGGGACTCCGTGAAAGTCGTTTGTCAAAAAGTGCAAGAACCCTCCGTGAGTGACAACGACAATCTGCGCATCCCCCTCAACGCCGCCCGCAATCTCCTTCAAAGCCCTCCTCGCCTCCGCAGCTCTGACCTCGAGCTTCTTCAACGTCGGCTCCCACCTGCTCTCAGGGTTCTTCTTCTCCGTCCAGTCCGCCGGCACCCGGCTGAAGTCCACCTTGCCCTCGAACTCACCCTCAATCTCAGAGACGGCGGAGCCGGTATCACACGGGGCATCCGAGACCTCCTGGACCTCGGGCAGGGCAATGACCTTGCCCAGGTGTCCGTCCTCGGGGCCGAAGCCGAGGAGGCAGGTGTGCAGGGTGCGGCGCAGCGGCGAGGCCACGAGGTGGGTGAGCTTGGAGTGGTGGGGGAAGGCGGCGCGGAGGTCGGCGCATTGCTGCTTGCCCTTGTCTGTGAGGAGGGGGTCGCGGATAGCCTCGTTTTCAACGTTGAGGTTGTGGAAGCCCTGGGCGTGGCGGACGAGGTGGATTTGGACAGGCATGGTTGATGAGGTTGGCGATGTCGAGAAGTTTCTGAGTGGTAAGATGTCGTCTCTATGACATGCAATTGACTTGGAGGGGTCTGATGTTGGTGAGACAGATGAGGTTGTGAGACAGGCGGGGTAAAGTTCTGGGGAAAGAAAAACAAACACCTTGAAGGCTGAGGGAAAAAAGGCTGGCGATGTGGTTTATTTGTTCACTTTCTAAACGTTACAAAACCTCCGGTGCTCGGTGTGGATGACTGCGTGATTCACGATCCAATGATAAAAGCACGCGGTCTCGAGACAACTACGTAATGGCTCCCCCGTCCTCGGGAAAATTCCTTGGTTGGGGCGAAGCGGCGTTGGCTGCGGCGGCGGCGGACACTGGAGTCAGGGTCCACGGCGCCAGTGCACACCTCACACACACCAGACATCCATGGATAGCCAAAAGTGGATGTTCTTTCCACCGGCATCATGGCGGGACAAGAATCTTCTCGCAAAATGACTCAAACGACAGGAGAGGAAACTCGCAGCGCAGCGCAGCGTACAGTGGGTGTGCCGCAGGGCGCGGACTTCGAGCCAAGAACGCTGCAGTGGTGGCCCGCTGCACCGACCGTAGCGCTGCGGCGCCGATGACCGGGGCGAAATGCGGGGCACACCCGTCTGGCGCCGTCCGGAGTGGTTGGGCGGGGCAGGGGGGAACGGCTTATCAATTGAGGCGAGCTGACTTGTTGCCGAGATCAAGGGCCGACTTCGTTGCGACGGAGTTACTGCTTGCGGCAACTTATATAATTGAGCTGGTGCGCGATGTTTGAAATTGGTCAGGTTGCCGAGATTTCGAACTAGCCCGGAAGATGGAGTGACTCACTTGAGCTGTCAGGTGAGAATGAGGACAAACAGGCAGAATGTGAGTTCAGGCTTCGAGTTTCCATTTTAAACCGGTTTAGATGACGGAACAAGTTAGATGAACAATTTGGCAGCTTGAAGTTTGCTTTCAAAACGGTGAAGTCCCAAGCGAAGCCCGAAAGCCAAGCCGAGGAAGTTTCCAAACAGATTTATGACAGCTCTCAGTTACCTGCATCGTCTTTCATTTTCTTAGTGCTATTATGGCGTGTGATAAACGATTACTCGGGCATTGTGTTTCGGGAGTTCGAATCAAATACTAATGTTTCGTCGGCCAAGACAGGCAACGTGAAGCGCTCACTGCTGCTGTCTTTTCCGCAGTAAAACCTCGCAAATATCACGCGGCATCAAATTTGGCGAATCCAGAAAAGCATACGAATGAGAAGAGAGACTTGAATGGCAGTTACTCTTTGCTCTGGCAGTCTGCCTCGTATAAATTATCATGCTGTACATCGCAAGCCGAAAGATGGATCAATTATCGGTCCCTTTGTGTGACCTCAATCGAAGCCGATTCGTAGCCTTCTGCTGAGCTATGCTCTGGTTGAGAGACTTGGAGTCCTCACCAACGAAGTTCCTTCAACGAACCCTAAAGATTTGAGGTATGTCTCTTCTGTTTATTCCACTTGTGTATGAACCAGGGATAGGGGTAGAGTAAGACAGAACTGCCAGGTTATCTATATTCTACTACGCTGTATACAACGCCAGTCTTGTTTACGGGCGCATAAATCTTTCGTTCTATCACTATGGTAAGTTTTCTGGAGGCGTAGGCATAAGAAACTATTTGAAATGTCGAGGGATACCTCAAATTTCGGCCTTGTTTGCAGCAACCCAAATCAGAGACATCATCAATCATTCTTCTATCAATTCTCTTAGCTAAATGAGTGCGAACGCAAAGACTCGCCAGATCTTACTGGAGAACCTACAACACGAATTCAAGCCAAGTCGGCCTTTCGTTCTGCATCGCGCATGTTCGGTTGGTATTCTCAGGTATACAGCATACTTAGACGAGAAGCCAACAAAGATACAGATGGGCGTAGTCTACCGTAAGCTAGCCTGGTCTCTCTGTATCACAGTGTTGCAGAGATGACTGACGATGGAGGCCACCTGTTCATTGTGCGGAGGAAACCCTTCACCAGCGTTGCCTGACTCTTAAATATTAGAATGACCCGGCTCAGATCAACGTCAGCCCTCTCTCGACATCGGCAGGGTCTGCGTTATTTCAAACACCTCCCCGGTAACGGGCTTCACTCTCAAAAGTAACGAATGAGACGATATACGTGGCCCTGCATTGCCCTATAAAGCCTCCCTTTACCTCCTCAGACATCATATCAAAACCAATACCAGCTTTCTGTCTCCCTAATGGTTTAGTTCCACCGTTTCTCTTGCTTATATGGAAATCAGAAAGAGTCGCTGCTGCCGCCGAGGACGTCTGCGACCTCATTCACAGACAACACGTGAAGACAGCCACTTAATGACGAATACGTCATAACAATAAGTGCGAGATGGAAGAAGGCAATAGTAAGATATAGGGATGCTCAAAATGATGGACTAAATCTCTGGTGTTGGTGCCTAGGGCTGTTGGCTACTTTGTCGCCTCGTCGCGCTTCAAATCATCCCATGCTTTCTCAAATACCGACTCCCATTGCTGTTTAGGGAAACCCCCTTTCAGATAACGCTTCAAAGCAGAGTTTTTATACACAGCTGAGACTTCCCAGGTCTGAAGCAAACAAGGCCTTTTTGCTTAGAACTGGGGAAAGCAGCCCCTCAGCCGAACAAGGCTCAAGCCAAGTCCACGAAGACTTCGAGAGTACCATAAAAATGGGGGCTCTATACTTGGATCTTTGGGCACAGGCCGGCAATGAATGCGCATGGTACGGTGTATGCTCATGAAATGGTCAATTTCTTTGAACCACCCCGTTGAAAGTACGCTCCTTTACTGCCCAACCCCCAAACAAACACATTTTCTCCCTAGGACTGGAGGCTATCAACAAATACTTGAGGTTTAATCAACGGACAAAGACCACTAGTGCTAGGGATGCTGAGTGAAAGCATCGTATAGGGAAGCAAGCGTAGATCGCTGTTTCCACATTACAAGAGAAACATCGGTAGGCAAAGAAAACCTTTAAACGTCCCGATCCAGACGGTATCCATACTGCCCAAAAAACCAGCGATTGTGGAATGAATGAACGTAACGGGACACAGGGCGAGTATTTGTTTCCGCTTCCGCTTTCAATTCGACTTCATCTTCACCCACGTCTCCCTCAGGTACCTCACTCCTAGATAGCCAGGCATCTACCTCACCCTCAAAAAGCCCACCTTTTCCTGACTATCTTCCCACCCTTCCTCCTCTCAATATCGGCAAAGCCAGAACATAACACACACATAAATCATTGCCGACATAACCACCATCACCATGCCCAACGAAGACCACCCCAACATCCTTGCACCTCACCAGCCTCCTGGAACCTTCGCTCGTCTCCGTACGTACCCCAGTACTCGACTCTGCCCAACAAGCTAACCATGGAAACAGGAGCGAAGGCTTTCGCCGACCGCGAACGCAAGGCAAAGGAGGAGGAGGCGAGGAAGAACAATGGAGAGCAACAGCAGAAGGGAGAGGAGCAGATAAAGGAGACCTCTTCTTCCTCATCCGCTCCCGAGTCAAGGCCAGGATTCCGTCCCTCGCTCCTTAAGCCTCGCCCTGTCTTTCCGGGGACCATGTAAGTCCAGGTCACCCGCCTCCCTCCAAATCAGATAAATATACTGACATAGAATGGCTAGGAACATCGCAATCTTGAATGATGACTGGACCCTGCCCCTCGACCAGGTCGATCTCAAGGTAAGGCGCCCACCAATTCCTCCTCATGTTCCACGTTCGTTTAAAGAGAAAACGCGCTCTGCAGGTCTCTATAGATATTTGTAGCTAACTTCATCTTCAATAGGCACGCCGCCAGCGTGAGGTCTATCTGGCTAGGGAGATTGCTGCATGGGAGCAGTTCCAATATGAGCAGGAGCAACAAGGTCGGGAGGAGGCGTCTGAGAGTGCCGCTGAATCGAAGAACGCCGCTATTGGCGGCGCTGAGACGAAGGGTGCCCGATAAAGCGATCAGGACGGGCAGAACTAGAGACTTCTCATCAGGATGACAGCAAGAACTGGTATGAGCATGTATTTTCCACGCTCACGAAGGCAATAGATACTTATGCAACATTTTTGTGCTTCCCCTGCTCAACAACGAATCTAGTATCAAAACACCAGGGACTGACTTAAGTACATCATAAACGGAGACGTAGGAAAAGTACATAAGAAGCTGCTGATGCCTCATCTCCCGTTGTTGGAGGGAGGAAACCTAGAAGACCAACTTCCTTGCAATAGCCATGACTCCTCGACTAAGATCGTGCTTTGATGCCACATACACGGCACATTTTCGCCTGTATACTCGGAGTGATGGACGTAGTGGGCTAGACGCGACTTGCCGCTCTCACTTCGATTTCACCTTCACATTCACCATCTCATTCACCACCCACACACTTTTCACCCAACCCGTCCTGAACCCCAAGGCATCTCTCAGAGCACCTTCATCTCAACCCCTTTCTCTGCTTTCACCCTTCAAACTCACCATCCTTCAGTCTCCCCCAGATTTTCCATCTGAATACCCACACAACAACTCCCACATATTGCCATCACCATCATCGCCGTCGCCACCATGTCTGACATCTCTGAGGAGGAGTTGAAGTACCTTGCGGAAAACGCAGACCGCATCGTCCCTTACATACCTCCCGGATACTTTGCTCGTATTAGTACGTTCCCACAGCCGCGGGATTTGACTACAAAAAGCTGACCATGGACATAGACGCAAAGGCCAAGGCTGACCGCGAGCGCAAGAAGGAGGAGGAAGAGGAGAACAACAAAAAGAAGAACGCCGAGGAGAAGAATGACGAGGGGGATAACAACGAGGACATGAACGACGAGGAGGGGAACGAGAAGAACGAAGGCTGGGGAGGATATCCACATGAAGGCGCTCCCATCATCTTCCACCTCTCTCACTTCGACTACGACAAGGACGGAAATCTCGTCCCTCGCGTGGGACCCAAGACCCTTGCCCTCCATTGTAAGTGCCACGCTAACAATGCGACTGGTCCAGGCAGACCAACTGACTGTCAAAACAGACGACGAAGAAACCGGAGACTATGTTGGCGAGGTGATCGCTAAGGTCGAGCCGGAGGAGGTTGAAGAGCAGGAGGTCGAGCAGGATAAGGCCAAGGAGCAGACGAAGCAGCTCTCCTCCAAGCCCGTCCACCAGCGCAAGCCGAGAACCAACCTCTCCCTCCTCAAGCCGATCCCCGCCTTCCCAGGATACAAGTAAGTAAACATCCATCATGCCCACAACCGCAAAGCAAATGCTGATACCAAAATCAGGGACCCCGACCTCCGAATCAAAGAAGACTGGACCTTGCCCGTTGACCAGGTCGACTGGAAGGTACGTCGCACAATATTCCTCCCCAAACCTTTGCCCTTTATCAAAATACACATCACTAAACACATTCCAGGCACTTCACTATCGCGAGGTCATGCGATCCAGAGAGATGGGAGAGTGGCATCGCTCTCAGTACAAGCTCGCCGTGAAGGACCGCAAGAAGGTCTGGAAGAAGGCATCGCGCCGCCTGAAGGAGGGTCGCGGCGTCGTCATGACGGAGGTCGTCCAGGAACCCGACCAGCTGGAGGTTTGATACTTGGTGACAACGAGGACTGGCATGAACATATAAAACCAGCCTGGAAGATGGCCAGGAGAGACGTGATGTGGGATATGGAGGAAGCTCTCATCTTGACATCGTTCGACAGCCGTTCGACTGCTTAATAACGAGTATGGCCTTGATGTCAAAGCACCAAAGGTTGACCTAGGGTCATTGGCGGAAGAGTAATCGACAAAGGGAGAATCACGCAAGGGTAAGAACATAAAGAATCAAGCACATGCAATCGTCAATCAAATGAATACATTAGTCTTATGACACCTTGCCACTCGGTACAACTCCACATCACAGATTATTGTTCCTGGCGACGAGCAGGAGAAGGGAATGCAAACGTGTCCAACAAAGATGTCATTTTACAGCTCATTCTCAAGCCCGAATAATGCAAAGAGTTACTTCGGCTTGCCCTTGTGTCCCTGAAACGCCGAAACCTATGTAGTAGACCTGCATGCATTCGGACCGCATCCTCCTCAAAGATCAATTAGACTCTCCTCCACGGCCGGTTGCTTCGGGGCGTGCTGCGGCGCAGTCGGGAACGACTCCTGGGTATATCCGCTGTTGTACTGGCCCTGCCAATGCTGCGGCGCTGATTGCTGGGGTACTGACGGCTGCCAGTAGCTCTGCTGCTGGGGCGGAGCCTGATGCTGCTGTGTATGCTGAGCGGGCTGGGCCGGTGCTTGGACAGGTGTCTGCTGGTGAGACACAGACTGCCTATATTGCACCGCCTGCTGAAGATTGGGGTACGGAGAGGGATTCGGGTCGGCGGACGGTGGTGCGGACGGGGGCGCACTGGGTTGCTGAGGGTTGAAGTAGTAAGAGGCGTTGGGATCGTTTGATGGTGTTGCGGCAGGTTGGTTTTGGTGGTTTGCGGGAGGGGTAGGCTCGCTGGGATACGAAGGTTGAGGCGCATACTGCTCGGGCGCGGGCGCACCTCCACTTCTCCAGCTGTCTGTCCGTTGAGGCTCCTGGGGAGGGTATACGCCAGTTGGGGGCCCAGACACCGACGCCCGCTTATCGAACGTCGCGTACTGAGGCTGAGGAGTGTGTTGAGGATGAGGAGGGTAAGCCTGGGGTGGCGGAGCGTGACCATAGTCCACTCGTTGCTCGCCAGTGTAAAAGTTCTCGGCAGCACCAGGGGCGCTAGCCTGAAGTGAAGGATAAGAGCCGGTCGAGTGGCGGACAGGAGGAAGATTATAACCTCCTCCGACGGCATGTTGGCTGTATGCTTTGGAAAGCCGCTCCTCGAGCATACGATCATAGTATCTCACGACAGTGGAAAGCTTGGCATGGAGATCCAGGAGGGTATCTGGGTGGGTTAGTACTGAAAACGGGGGGCACTCAAGGGCTGTACATACCATGCTTGCTCATGGTCTCTCCGTAGGTGCGGGCAAGCTTCGGCCGCAGAGTGCCGATACTGTCATACAGCTCCTGAATTTGGGGTTCACGCAGAATGGTTCCAGGCGGTTGTGTCTGCAGGCGGTCGACAAGGGTCGCGAAGAGGTTGATGTTCTCGGCTTCGACCGGGGTAAGTTCGTAGTCGTTCTTGGGCAAGGAGAAGTGCTGAGTCGATGAAGGTCCAGCGCTCGATGTCTGCTCCTTCAATACAGCGGCGTGCCTCTGCTTCTGCTCCTCCATGTCGGCCAGCGAGGCGGCGATGGCAGCTTTGAGGTCTTCGTCCTCATCCTCTGCGCCATTCGTCGGGGCAGCAGAGCTTCCATTCACCTTGGCATCCGGGCCGTTGGCGGTGGGAGGCACGTAACCCTTGGAGTAGTTCTTGACCTCCTCCAGACTCATAGCCAGCGCCTTCTTCAGATCCTCATCGAATGCGTCGTCAACGCGCGCATTGCGCGGCTGCATGGCAGACGTGCTGCGGGTCTTGTAAGGGTAGGTGGGAGATCGGTCTTGGGGCAGTGGCGAAGGCGCGCCTCCCTTGCTGGACTTGTCGGTAAGCTTCGCATAGCAGCCATCGTCGACGCGGACGGGCGCGAGGATGCCGAGATGGGGGAGGGGCAGCGACTTGGTCGAGCACTGCTGGTCGAAGCAGTTGCCGCAGTTGCGACAGTGGTGCTTTCGGTTCGTGAAGGTGAAGGGGGTTCGGCATCGCATGCAGACATCTGAATCAACCCACTCGGGGGGCTGCGACTTGTCAGCGTGGGGGACATCAACGGCATTCAGACAGAAAACCTACAGCGCTGCTGTCAATCATGCTGCTGGAGACGGTGACCCTGGGAGGGAAGTGGTGGCCTTCTCTTTGTAGTGTCTTGTAGACCTCTCCGATGTATCCCAACTCGTGGCGGCCTTCGGTAGCGGCGGCCCAGGACTGTATCAACTCGAGGATCTTTTGCTTCACTTCGTGGTTGACGGCGGCAGGACCAACGGCTTGGAGGAGCGAGGTCAGGTTGTCCATAAACTCTCGCGAGGCGATTTCGGCAAGGAAGTGGGTGCCACCGTTTTTGACGCACGTGTCGGTAAGCTGCCATCCGGGTTAGCTTATGTATATAAGAGCAGGCAGCAGCGAAGCATGGCATACGTTAAGGGCGCTCAGCTGGGTATTTGGGTTCTTGTTGCCGATGCGCCTTTTGAGGGAGCGCATGGCCTCCTTGGGCTGGACGGTCTTGGACCTGATGACATCAGAGATCTCAAGATTCAGAGCGATATCCTCCCTGTTGCAGCGTTAGAACAGTCATTTGAAGCATCGGCATCGGGTCGTACAAGCTGCTGCTGGTGGCTTTCTCGATCTGCTCGTCCAGGGCCGTGTTGGCCGAGCTGGACCACCAGCCCATCATCTTGAAGGCTGGATGCGGTATGCGGGATGGGCGGGGAGGCGAGTGCAAACAAGCGAATGTCGATCGTCGTCGGCGGGCTATCTATGTGTACGTGGTTCGGGTGCGGTCGCGATGCCGACGTGACGGGATTACGAGGCGGAGGTGGAATGGATTGCGCGTAGGAATATTGATGGAGGAGCGACAAGAGGAAAGCTTGGAGTGCGTGTGTCTGTTGGCCCAGATGCAACAGCCTTAGCCTTGGGGTCTCTGGGATGGTGCGTATGGTTCGTTCAGTTGGAGATGCAGCAGGCTAGGCCCGATTGTCCACCTCAGGTCGCCCGGGAGGTAGCTTGCAGGCGGGCTGGATACGGCGAGATACTTCGATGCCTGGTGGTGGCTACCTTACGTTGGCTCAGTGCGTAGTCAGGCAGGACGGGTACCTAAACTTACGTAGCGACTCTGGTTCCGCAGCAGGGATGCATGGGGATTGGTAAAGGGCTGCCTTGCAGGTGTCGTCGCGGGCCTCGTGGCTGCTTCACCTGGTGCTTCTGCTGACTACGCGGTACGTACTTCGATAGTAATCGGCGGACGGAAATCTCCGCGCTAAGCCCAAAGGGCGTGGGACTTTGAAGACGGGTTTGGGGGGGGGGGGGGTTCCCCAGAGATGACGAAGTTGGGAACATGGCGGTGGAGCCATCTGTGGCGCATGGGTTTGCCAACCTGCCCAAATTGCTGCGGGCCTTGGCATTGAGCTTGCTGTAAGTACATGACTTGGGCATCTCTGGGTAATGCACTCTTTGACATGAGCTCCTTCACATTGTAATGCATTTTTGCATTTGTCGCCATGTAATACCCGGCAAAGAAACAACATCTAGGGTGGGTATTTAGGTAAAAGCCAAGCTATATTGGTTGTGGCGCGGCACTATGAGTTGTCAGTCATGCCAGCTTTAGCACCTACCTACCGTAGGTATCCGTAGCTTTCTTTACCTTCCATTACTCAAAGTTGCCGCTCAAGGTGCATGCACCCAAGTAAAATCAACGGCGAACCCGCCGCCCGGCCGCCCTCCTTCAGTGACAGTCGCCCGATGTGATACCCTGAGACTGAAGAAAAGATAAGAAAAAAAAACAGGGGGACCAACTACCCGGCCCGCCTTGTCCGCCTGTTCCATCGCAGTGCCTGAAGCATTCAAGAGGCCGGATGCGTCAGTGATCCCGACTGCCCTCCAGCGCAGCAATTACTTGCCCTGTCCAGAGGTAGGTAGGTAGCCCTGGTCTCGATGTCGACGGGTACCGGCCCTCTCGGATAAGATACCGTAACGCCCCCCAAAAACACAGCCGCCGCAACGGTACCGTTCCCTCTCCACAATGTCTTGCCATTGTTGAAACTGTTAGCGCCCGGCGACGACGACAGCGAGGCTGCCCTCCACCACGGACCATCGTCCTTTCACAAGACGGCAGCACAGCATACGGCACCACAAATCTGTTCTATTCTACCTCTCTTTTCCTCAAAGACGCCTTTTGGCTGCCCCCGCCATTCTTCCAACCCACCGAAAGCCCTCTGCTCTATTCAGGGAAACATGCACACTGCAGACCGCCCTGCAGCTGCGCTTGCAACGTACTACTAAAGCGTCCCGTCGCCTGCCACCCATGACGATCCCGCCGCCGATTGTCGTCGTCTCCGAGTCCCGTCCTCCGTACCTTGATCGCTCCGAATCCTCCCACCACCACCACCGTCACTCCTCGAATCTACCAACCCAAACTACAACAACATCTCCCGCGACCGACCGAGCAGCCGCGCGTGCAGCGACATGATCCAACTTCCACACCCACCCCCCAGATACCGTTCCTCGTTCACATGAGTTCGACGGCCTCCTCAGCCACCAGAACCGTCCTCGGCGGCGGCGGTCCTGCCATGCCCAACGGCACCTCTCTACACTCCTTCGCCATGGGCGGAGACGGGGGACCGGCCGGCCGCGGCGCCAAACAACCCCTACCCCATATAGACGACCTCACCTCCGCCTCCCCCGATGTCGACATGAAGCTACCCTTGCGCAAGATCCTCGAGAGGGGCGACAATGCCATGCGACAAGCCGAGACCTTCCGCGACTTTGGCAGACCAGATCTCGCCTTCAAGGAGTACCTGAAGGCCTCCTTGATTGCCATTCGATATGTGCCTCAACACCCCGATGCCCTGGCCGTGAGGGGCGGCCAAGGAGACATGAGCCGCATCTACTCTGCCCTCATGAAGAAGATAGAGTCCCAGCATACAGCCTTTGAAAAGATCAAGGCCGACATCATCGCTGATAACCAAAGAACGGGCGTCCGCCCGACCACCTCGAGACCATCCTCCATCGTCAACGGCCAAGCGAACCGACCCATGTCACCCCAGGGCCAGCCGGGCGCACCACTGATGAGTCCCACGAGAGCCGAGGCCGGTACACAGGTCAATGGCTCGCCGAAGCCGAAACCTGCAGTCCAGCCGAAGCCCCAATCTTTACATGGCAATGTGATACGTTCGGGGGCTGGCACACCGACCCTCAAGAGCAAGGCCGCCGAGGATCTGGCAGCCCGCTTCGCCAATCTTAGAGGACCGGTAGCTTTGCCTGGCCAAGATCCCCGCATACGAACACATCCCCTCGTTCCGGCGAGACCAGCAGGACCGAGGGCGATGCCCGAACCGACCGAGAAACCAAAGGTGGCAGTAGTGACAAGCCTGCCAGACCTGCCAAAGATGCCGGACGCCATCTACAGCCCGGCCAGAGGAACCGTGTCTAATGAAGCGGCCTCCTTGCCCTCAAGTACACCCCGCGGCCTGTTCAGCAGAACGGGCTCCTCGGCCGCGATCAATACCGTCCTTGCCAACAACAAATCGTCGGATTACTTCGCTCAGCCCCAGCCTCAGCCTAATGCCGCTCCTGCTCCAATTCACCGTCCCAGCATTACGATCCCCGAGGGCGACACCATCACTGCCGAGGACCTAATGAGTTTTATAAGAAGGGGCTCCGCAACACTTCAAGTTCTAATCATTGACGTCCGCAGCCGCGACGATTTCGACGAGGGCCACATTCTGTCACAAGCCGTTATCTGCATTGAACCCAATATTTTACTTAGAGAGAACATATCGTCAGAGCAGATCGCCGAAAGCATGGTGCTCTCACCCGCGCAGGAATACCACCACTTCGAGAGGAGGGACGCTTTCGACCTGGTGGTTTTCCATGACCAGGACTCAGATGCTATCCCACGATACATTTCTCCTGACATGGACGCAGCCGCACTGTTGTCACTCCAGCGCGCATTAACGTACTTCAATTACGGAAAGGAATTGAAGAATCCCCCCAAGTTGCTCCAGGGAGGCCTGGATGCGTGGACAGATCTAATGGGAAGGGCTGCTTTGGCCACGTCCCAGACAGCTGGTGCTGCTAGGGCCCCTAGGATTCGGTCTCCTTTGAAGCCCTCCATCTCCATCTCAAAGCCAGCCAGGCAATACAAAGTCACGCCTTTGAAGCCTGAAGAGGTCAAGCTTTGGGAGGAAACGCTTCACAATGCAGATCTCGAGACTGCGCGCTCTCCTGGGTTCATGCATGTGCGCAGCACCGAAGAGTTTCTGCGGAGATTCCCAGCCGTCTCAGCTGAGCAGGAATCCATGCAGTCACCCATCAGTCCTGAAAAACCCACGTACAACAATTATCAGAACCACGCCGATATCTACTCCGAACTTCCGTCACCACCTACGCGGCCAGCTCCAGCCGTTCCTCGTCCCAGCTACAGTGGTCTTTCGCAAACGCAGGATGACCATGAGGCTCAAGGCTTGGCTTTCCCAGCGCAAGCTAGAAACCTCAAGCAGGGCCCATTGGCCCGCCCCGACTCTCCATCTGTCGGCGCAGTCAAGGATGGCCATCACATCACAGGTCTCAACAACCCCGGTGTCTGGTGTTACGCCAACAGCTCCATCCAAGCCCTGCGGATGTCGCCTGGTTTTGGCAAGGAGCTGGCCACGTTTGAATGGCAAAACACGTACAAGGTCCCGAAGAAGCCCGATGAGAAGAGCGATCCCCCTCAGCTCATGTCGCGCATCCTATCCAACCTGTTCCACTGGATGGACTCCGGCAAGTTTGCCACCATGAAGGCCCAGACACTGATGGTAAGCATCCCCGCCCATATGGCTAAGCGCTGTACTGACCATTCGTAGGACTACTCTCGATCGGTCTGTGAAAAGAGCCGGCTTAAAGACAAGGGTGATGAGTTTGGTGGTGGTCGACAGCAGGATGCTCAAGAATTCATGTCCTGGCTGATGGCCTACCTTCACGATGAAACAAATATGCGAAGAGATCGGATTGGCGACGAGAACGCAGCATTCCCTCAGATGAAGATTGGCAAGTCGATGCTTCAGGGTGCGTATGAGTGGTGGGGTCACTACCTGAAAACAAACTCGTCCATCGTCGACAGGTACTGGCGTGGTTTGGAACTCTCGACCGTGGTGTGCTCAAGATGCAACAACCGCACTTACAGCTTTGCGACATTCGACTTCATCTCGGTGCCCATCAACAGCAACACACAAACGATCGAAGACTGCCTGAAGTCATATCTCGAGCCAGAGTTTATCGACGATTACAAGTGCGATACTTGCAACATGAACGTACGGGGCCAAAAGCAAATCGCGCTCGCTCGTCTGCCAGAGCTGCTGTGCGTGTGCTTCCGACGTTTCGACTACGACAACACCGGCCAGGTGCAGAAGAAGCGGGACATGATCACATGGGACTTTGAAAACCTGAACCTCGACCAGTTCTTCATCCCGCCCGAGGAACGCAACACCGTCGGGCCGCCACTCGACGAAAAGTTCGAGCTGCCCTTCGACTACGAATGCTACGCCGTCATCATCCACACCGGCACCAACATCACCAGCGGTCACTACTACTCCTACGTCCGCGAACCCCAGAACCCCGACCCGCATGCTTGGCACCGCATCAACGACGCCCGCGTGACCCCGATCCGCATCGACGGCACGGGCCGCGGGGGCGACGCCAGTCGCGAAGTGTTCAAGAAGAGCACCTCCGACGTGCCGTACCTCGTGTTCTTCCGCAGAAAGCAAGGTCGATCCTCAAGACGATGATCATTTTCCGCAAGATGTTGTAATAGAGAGAGAGCATTGGGGAAGAAGGGTGAAAAAGGACCAAAGATATGTACATGTGTCGGGACTATCGGCGGGGCAGGAAACGGGGGACGGGGTGGGGGGCTTTTCAAACCTCATATAGAACTGAATGACGGCGGGCGGTTGCCAAGCATGGAACGATGTTGTCTTTTTTCTACAGTTTGAGTTTCTTCAAGCGCTTCTTCCAAAGCATGGCGTCTGGTTCGATTTTGGAAGGGGAGGGGGGTTCATCTTGCCTGTCACATTGGGGACGGACAGGATACTTTTTTCTTGCTCTTTTTTCGGGATGAGGTCATGACCAAACATTAGTTCTATTGGAATGAGAACCGCACATTTCAGGGGATTATTCTAGTCTTGGAGATAGACTTGGTGAATGACTAGAGTGACATGCGTAAGTGAGAACGTGAGTCAACCAACAACCTCGTCAGGATGCTCTCTCAAAGCCCATATCGACTATTGTCTTGCTGGAGAAGTGTTTATTATTATCTAGCAAACCCCGTGCTTTGTATGAGTGTTCTCTAAGCCAAGGAGCGAACATACTTCAGCGTCCTGACATAGAATAGCCATTGACGGAAGCCATCCAGCATCTTGAAGTGAAGAACACGCTGTTTCTGCCGACGAGTCGGCCAGAGATAGCGGAGTTGGTGAGATGGGATTTCTCAACTCTATCTATTCAAAATCGAGCCCCCATGGTTGGACGGCACGCGATGCCGTTGTGAACCTGATGAAAGGAGATGCCATATCGTCAATGTCTAAACTCTAGTATGATGTTTTGATTTGGCTGCTGGAAAGTTGCTGACGTCGGACCATGGCAGTTGTGGTAGAGGCCTTTGAGAATCTAGTGAGAAGGATGTAAGTCGGATACGCCCAAGTTCATCCTGGTGTCCCCTCAACATACCACCCATCTCCCACCCGCAAACCCTCACGACAAACCCATTCCAACACACCCACCTTCCTCCCCATCCAACCTCCTCATGCGCCCCCTCGCAAACCCCAAAGGCCACCCCAAATACCCCTTCAACTCCCCCGGCAGCCCCTCCTCGATCCCCTCCAGCCAAGCCAGCGTCACCCTCGCCCGGAACTGTCCCTCGCGGCTCCGCCCCCTGCGGTGGTTGATCATCTCGACCACCTGCGCGAGCAGGAAGAAGTGACCCAGCAGGATCCGCGCGGCGTGGTTCCCGGGCGCGCTGAAGCGCACGAAGTCGTCGCTGCTCATCTCACCGAGGCGGTTGTACATTGCCGCGAACTCGAAATACGCTGCTCTCATGGTTAACGCCCTCCTCATTTCCATCAGAAAACCGCACGAAAAAGAACAAAAACACTTACCATCCTCAGAGCCGGCAATCGCAAGCCCGACAACCCTCTTCATCCCCGCCAGATACTCAACCTCGCACACGCTCCCGCACAGCGCCCCGACGTCCCGCAGACTCCCCACGAACCCGTCCAGAACCTCCCGCCGCTCTGCCTCTCTGGCGTCTTCCAGCCTGTGCAGTCTGCCGGGATGCTGATCCGGCTGCAGCAGGGACCGGAAGCCCGAGACGTAGCCCGGGCCCGAGAACCCGCGGAACGCAGAGTCGGGGAACGAGGGCATCGCGTTGTCGGCGACGACATGGCCTTTTTACTTTCATGTCAGCGTCATGGATACACACACAGAGAAGGGCAGAGGGAGAGACTTACACCCCCGAACCATGGCCACAAAGTCCCCCATTCCGTCCACCATGTACCCAGCCTGGAACGTCAACGCCATCATCGCCGCAAACGCCGCGTCCCCGTCGACCTTGCTCAGCCGCCCGGCAGACAGCTTGTCGTTGAGCGCGCGTATCGCTCGCACCCTGTGTCCCAACGCCTGCCGCTCCATCACGCCCGTCCCTGACGACGACAAGACGGAGTTACTGTTGTCGCTTAGAGTACTACACAGAGAAAGATGCGACGCGCCGAGAGCCAGTACTGCGTGCATCAAAAAGTCGTACTTTCCCCCCATCCGTCAGTCCACCAGAAAGATAAAGCATGATAGTCCGTAAGGAAGCACACAAAACTCACCTCATGCGCCATCCTCGCAACACCCCTCCATACCTCCCCTCCCCCGACAGGCAAAGGCGGAATAGCATCCAGCATAAAGTGCTGAAAGAACCTCAAATCCTCCATCCCAAACACAGGCGGCGGCGAACCCCCTATTTCCATCACCATCTCCCTCTCCTCGTCCTCACCGTCGCCACTACTACTATCCCCCACCCCCATCGTCACCACCCGTCTCCTCCCGGAACCCGTCCCCAGGTGCCTCTTCGCAGGCCACGCCCACTCGCAAACCAGCCCCATCTTTAGACACCCCTCGCACTCGGGCCGCCGCTCCGAGCACTTGACCCGCCGCCTCTTGCACCCGATACACCCGTTCCGCGACTTGGTGTGACCCTTCCTCGGGCCGCCGCCGCCCCGGCGCTGCTTCACGGGATCGTCATTCTCACTCGCCGTGGTCGAGCGGTGATCTCGTTGGTGGTGTGGTTCCTCCGCAGGCTCCTTCTCATCGTTCCTCCTCCGATTCGCAAAGTCACTCATTCTTTACCAGGGGGGCCAAAGGATCCTGAATGCCAAGATAAGGAAGTTGGAAGAATCAATAAACGCACACCACATTCATGCACAACAACATCCAAAAGAAAGAAAACTGCAAATTCAGACAGAATGAATAGATTGGCAGCTGCTTCCAACCCCGTCCAACCAACTTGGACCAGAAAAAAAACATGGAATCTGACTTATCAGACTGCGCCGCCTGACGAAAGTAACCTACCTACTCGAGGCTACCAACAGCAGGTCTGCTTATGGACCGCGCCACGATTCCTTCGGCTTCCCTTCTTCGGGCCGCGTAACTCCCGGTGGCTTATTTCCATCTCCAGAAACTCGCAGCTTCAACATTCGTTGACAAGACCGGGGGGGGGGGGGAAACAAGACCACTTACGATAACCTCTGGCACCGATACATCACAAGGTGGTGCATGCTGGCCCATCGCCTTCCTTCATCCATATTTCATCCATCCATCCTCCCGCCCTCACTCGCCCTGTCAAACTTCCTTCGCGGCCCTGTCCCCTCCGCCCCTATTCTCATTCACACGCCTCCCGCTCCAACGTTTCCCGCCCATCGCGCGCCACGCCGACCTTGCCTTGCCCGGATAACTGACTAGACACAAGCCATAAATACACCCGCCATCGGGAAAAGAAAAGAAACGCCTCCGGACGCCCTTATCGATTCAACGCTAAAATACCACCGAGATTAGCGTCGCGGTTCACCCCCACCCTAGTGCCGCAAGTCACAATACGGGAATGGCTGGCTGGACAAGCCACGCCCCAACCACGATCTCCTCTCAACAGCAACTACCGTTTTTACTTGCTTTTTCCTGTTATCATTCGCCGTGAAATCCCATGGTGACGCGCATGTATTGTTGCTTGTGTGGATCAGCTGTGAAAAAAAGCAACCTTCTCGGAAGTTGGTGCCGTAGATTGTAGTGAAATGCTGGTTTTATACACTACCAAAGGAAGAAGGCCAGATACACCGCCAGCAGTATCCCTGGGTACACTCTTGCTCACTTGCTCATGGCAAAACAACACGGCATATGGGAAATCGTTTTGGAGGAGTACGTCTTGATTATACACACTATTCCCACATCTCTCATAAGACCCTGCCCGTTCTAGATATGGCGCCTCGCCTGCTTGTTTTTGCAAGATTCAAAGAAAAATTACACATTCCCCTCCAAAAATGACAAGAGATATTAAGGAAAGTTATGTGTGTACCAGTTTGGTAGTTGGTATCGATGCTATTCCCCCCTCATGGTGAAGGCGGTTGATGTTGCTGCAAATGCGTCTCCTCCGTCGGCGATCCCATAGACACATCCTCCCCGTCCACGAACGCGGCCGCCGTAGCCGCAGCCTCCCTCAGATCGTTGCGCGCAGAGAATCGCCGGATGGACCGTGACGAGCAGTCGGAATACCGCCTCATAGCGTTTCTCTCGCCCGAGCCGGAAGGTTTTCTCTCGGGCGTGCTGGCGGAGGACATCATGGGCTGGTGCTCCTCCCTGGTCGGCGGAACTGTGCCGTCATTCCTGAGCGTCATGGCAGACCACCGCTCTCCGTGCGAGTTGGGGTTGGCGGGCTTCAAGAGGAAGGATCGGTGTGCTTCGGAGGGGCTGCGAGGCGGCTGGCTGTCCCTGTTGATCGAGAACGGGGCCTCGCTAAGGAGGGCCTTCTGAGCGGCTCTCTCTTCGGCGTAGCGGTGAATCGGCTCGACGCCCTCCAGGGCCTCCGTCTCTTGGATGTTTTCAAACGTGGGCGAAGCCTTTGCGCCGCCAAATCCTGAGCCGCGCTTGTCGTTGGGGTCGCGGATGGGCGCCGGCTCCCTGAGAGTCATTGCCGACCATCTGGCGGTGTCGCGTTTCTTGCTGAGGCCGTTCTTCTCGTTGAGCTGGTCGTCACTTGCGGCAGCGTCCTTCAGGGTCATGGCAGACGACCACCGCTCGCTGTTTCGGAAGCTCGGTGGGATCATGGGGACAGGCTCGATCGGTTCGTCCATGGTGCGTTTACCCTTCTCGCTGGCGCTGGAAGACGATCCCGCAATGGAAGCGTTATGGCTGGCCGTCTTCTTAAGCTCGTCTTCCTTGCTCGGTACATCCTTGTCGCTTGCGGACTCGCCCTCCAGCCTGAGGGTGAGGTAGGTGACGCCGGACGGGTAGTAGCCCTCCTCGATGGCGCGGGTAAGATCGTAGCGGGCCTGGTCGCTGATGGAGCGCTCGAGGCGGAGCTTCTTCATGTTCTCGGCGTCGACTGTCTCCTCCCAGGTCTTCTGGAACATGAGGGCGATCTCGTTGACGAGCAGGAGAATGTAGCAGGCAATGAGAACGCCAAGGTCCTGAAGTTGGTGAGTCGTCGGGTAGTCGGAGCCGGCACGTCTGGCCTGCGGATTGGCCTGTCCTGCCTTTACGATGGTCACAAACTTAATGGAGGTGACGGCGATGCTCATGATCCAGAAGATGATGTTGGCTGGCTGCCAATTGCGAATGCGGCGCTGGAAACCCCGGGTGGACTGCATGACGGCGCAGACACCACAGCCCGCAAAAACAAACGGGAGCAGGCCGACGCCAAAGTTGATGGATGCCAGCCTACCAATTTCCATGGCCTCCATCATGAACACGACGAGGATGGTGAAGTAATAGAACGACAGTTGGGCGTGTCTCTGCCATTCATGCTTCACTTCATACCGCTTGATCTTGTCCACGACGAGGACGGGAACGACAAAGTGAAAGAGTGCAAACGTGACAATGATACGGATCCATGCTGGCAAAGGCACAACAACACTGTCGAAAAAACACGATGATGGTAGAGGACCGAACTTTGAATGAGCCACCTGTGTAGCGTTAGCTGGAGCAGCCCTTGATTCTAGTCAAGCAAGGGAAGAAGACTTACGATCCCTTCAGGGCGGATACCACACAACCCCGACATGATTGCTTCAAGTGAGAGGCAGCGTTTTGGTTGGGCGCTGGTCACCTCTCGAAATCAAACGGGAGAAAGGACAGGAGTTCATCTCGAAGAGGGCGGCTGCGACGTAACTCTATCTTAATACAATGAATGGCACGTCGGAGGTGCGCACGCTTGGCGTGTCTTTGGGCGTCTATGAGCGGTCCATGTGGTGCTGCCGGGCTGGGACTGTCTCTGGGACAATGAGAGACACGGCATGCGGTTCTTGCTGTGGCTCTGGGCTCCACGCTCGGGGCTTGCAGAAGGGGGCGTTTCATTGTTGTGACAGTGGTGACGACGAGTATATTTCGAGAGCTGTGCTCATGTTCGAGCGGCCCTGCAGGTCCTCGGTTGGTGATGGCTCATTGGCCGGTAGGGAGAGACACACGAGGCGGACTATAGGATGTGTCCGATGGGGGAAGTCCATTCTAGAATTGAGATGGCCGTTAGCTGCAGACCTCGACATTTGGCTGGCGGGCGCCCGGCAGCGCCGCCGGAAGGGGTTCACAAGTCTGTGTCCGCAGAGTGCAGTCGTCTGCAAGACTACCTTACTGTTCATTCGTACTCCGTGTAGTACAGTCCAGAGTAGGCCGAGAAAGGATGAGGCTAACACACGGCCCCTTGCCTTGGTCTAGGGGCGTGTGTGGACGAAGAGTGCCGAGCGGTGCTGTTTTAGGGCCAAAGTAAAAGCCGTTAGCCCAGCGTAGCTGCGTAGATCCCGCTTAGCCTCAATGACGGTGGCGGACGCTGGGGAGACGTGCCAGGCGTGTTTATCAAAGCTGGCGATCCGGGACACGTGCCAATGCTGGCGTATTGAGCCCCAGCCTTGCCCATCCAAGGCTCATGATGCCGCATACACATACATGGCTCATACGCCTGTCCTTTCGGATTGGGGTTCCCGAGTGGATCTCCGGCTGCAAGACACAAGACAAAGGCAGAGACGGTTTCCTCATAGCCGGGTCGTCCGATCCGTTTAGTACGATCGCTCGGCCGGTTAGGGTGTGAAGACCCAAGATTGCGATAGGCCGGATGATGCTATAAATTGCTTCTCGACCGGCTGCCACACGATGAACTCTCACCGCGCGGTCCCGAAGTCGACGCTGAGCCGCGTCGAGGGTGGTCAACCGCTTGGTTTCCACGGTTTCCGCTGGTTTCTTGCTATTTGGCGCTCGCACGGAATAGCATCGTCAGGTTTGTTGTTTTCGCGACTGTCCTGAAGACGGAGTTGTAGCAGGACCTGAGTCGTCGCGACACCGCGAGTCGGAGGTTCGCTTTTCAGAGCTCCGAGCTGGGCGGTTCGCGGCTGTTGCTGCTGTGGTTACTGGCCATAGCTTCCCAGCCGCCACAGGGAAGATTGATGCAG